ACTTTTCTCAATCATAAAGCCTGTGTTAATTCTTATCGTTAAACTGTATTATTTTCATACGATGGATAATGGACGACAAGCTTTCTTCCGCAATCATTTGGTTCAACGAGTTTGTTTGCCATCGCGTTCCGTCCTACATGCTTAAGGTCGCTAATTGAGGGTCCTGAAGGGGTAAAATGGGAACTGGGATTGATCTATTTTTAGACTGGGAAAATGGGATTTGGGTTGCTGGGACTGGGATTTGGCCACTGGGAATGGGAAATGAAATCCTCAAAAATGGGAATGGGATTGAGGTAATGCGAGTCGATTCCCAATTTTTCTGTGTTTTGAGTATTTTAAAATACAATTTTGATCCGTTTTTGGTGTCTTTGGTCATGATTTTTGTTGTTACCTCCGCCAGGAGGTTATGTAATCATCTGGGTTTGTATGTGTGTGTGTGTGTGTGTGTGTGTATGTGTGTGTGTTTGTCTGTGAGCACGATAACTCAAGAAATACCAAACATATCCGTACGAAATTTTGTGAGTGCATTAATTCCCATCGGCTACGGAAGAACTGATTAAAATTTGGTTGAATTTGGTTAAAAATTGAATGAGAAATAACAAAAGTTTGTCTTGCTTTTCCCGGTCAATTAAATAAAACTTTATACTGAATGCGTAATTAGGACGTGCATAATATATGCACCAGCCACTCAAATTCTAATAACAATAGATTACTTCAATATTTTGCGCGTAGGCGGAGGTATGCAGTCTCTGAGTGCCCTCTAGTTAACTATATTATTCACAGCACTACCTGCGAACAGGCATACTCTGGCGCCCGGAATTCTGGGTTTTCTGATTATGCGCGTCTCAGAATGCTGCAAATGCCATTTCCGGGATTCAAATTTAAAAATTTTCCGTGCCTTCGGCACGAGCCCCTCCCTAATATTTCATAAAGTGTCCGCCACTTGCTTGAAAGGTCTTAAAACTGTTTATTCTACCGATAAATAAAGGGTTTTTTATTGACTGGGATTTCAATAACTGCGACTGGGATTTCTAATAAAAATCCAACTGGGACTGGGATTTTGCCAAAATTTCAGGTGGGAAATGGGATTGGGACCCCCCTTCAGGACCCTCCTAATTAGCTAATTAGAACGGCTAAATTAGCCGTTCTCACGGCCGATTTTCCCGCCATTTTGTGGGTACTGCCTCTCCCACGTTTGAGAGTCTCCGCACCACGAAATTTTTATTATTGTAGTTGTTTGTATAATGGTAAATTTACAGTTACAACTTTTAAAAGTTGTTTTTCACGTTGTTTAAATTGTCTAGAATCTTTCACGAGGGCAGACAGTACCCCCAAAAATGCGGATTTTGGCCTTCGGACTCGTGAGAAAGGCAATCCATTGAACTATAAGTAAACTATAAGTTATAGTTCAATGAGGCAATCTCGTACCCAGAGCAATGCCTGTGTGCGGGCTAGGATGGCATTGGGAAATTGATGAATAAACTATGGGATAAACCAATCTCGTTCCCCGAGCATGCCCGTTCGCAGGTTAAGGCTATGCCCATCAATGATGCCCATAGCTATGCGCCACCCTTAACCTGCGAACGGGCATGCTCGGGGAACGAGATTGTGGATAAACATGAAGTAATGGCAAGCAAACAAAAAAAATCGCGGTCTCAGTAATCGAAATTTTCAAGATGGCGCTGGAAGTTGAGAGCGCGGAGTAAGTTTTTGAAGATTATAAAGTTGTTTTTTTCCTTTCTGTGTAGGTTATTTTACAAAACGTACTCGATTGTCTTGCTGTATCTTTCTAGTGTCGTAAGATTAATTGAACAATATTTGAAAGAGAATAATCTGCCAAGAACCTTGGCTGTTTTGCAGGTAAGGTGATTGGACATTTGAAATAATTGCATTACTATATTATTAACCATGCGGGGAAATTTTACATTTTGCCGTACTTGAGTAATCATTGAATACACGCCAGTACTTTTACTAGTAAAATATTACAAGTAATGCTATCAAACACATCGACACATCATGTTCACGTTTTGTAGGCAGGCCGCAGGCAAATATTTTTCATTTTTGCCTGGCTACAGATTTGTTGTGCTTAAATTTTAAAGTTGATTCTTTCGTGCTGGTTCGCATATAAACAGCCCCCAGGGTTCGTAGTGGTCTTTGAAATCCTTGAAAGTCTTTAAATTTGAATGCAGGTCTTTGAAAAATCTTTGAATTGTGTGAAAAAGCGAAGAAAGTCTTTAAAAGTCTTTTAAATTCTTTAGTGAGTATTTGATTTTACGATTTCCTAGCTAATAAAATAGATTGATTGAAGTAAGATTTTTGCAAATATCGACGAAAAGGCGCATTTTACGATGTGATTTGACAGGACTAATTATTGGGTAAAAATCTTGCTTACACTTGCAATTTTTCGACAGCTGATTGCTCTCAAAGGTCTTTGAAAATAGGCAAATAGGTCTTGGAGACTACGAACCCTGTAAACAGCCCCCTACTTAGGGGGAGCATCCATACTCAACTTGCCACGAGAAACGTCAATTTGACGTTTCTTTTTATACCCACCCACCCACTCTAGAAACGTCAAACCGTGGCAAGAAAAAAACAAGTGTAAATACTCAAAAATACTTGCATTAACAAACATAACAAAATAAATCTAAAGCCTTGATTTACCGTCTGGTGAAGTAAGAAAGCTTGTTTTTGTTAGTTGTATATTTTCATTGACTTTGTGTTTTTAAAGTATGTTATTACAAATAGAATTTTATATTATACAAAAGAATTTTATATATTTATACTGTCTTTTATAATATTTAAAAGTGTCAAACTGCCACAGGCAAAACGTCAAAGAAAATAACCCACACACCCACAAACGTCAAATTGACGTTTCTCGTGGCAAGTTGAGTATGGATGCTCCCCCTTACATAGTCATTTGGTGTGACACTTTGTCCGGCATCATGTCAGTTTCCTGACTTGAAAGTTTGGAAATTGTGCGGCCAAGATTTTTCGAAAAAACTATGAGTAAATATATAGAAAGCTTCAAAATATCTTGCCCAATATCTCGGTTACAAGTGTCCTATACAAACTTCCCACACTGGATCAGTTTGGTGGTTGGAAATGAGTACTGACCTCTTGCATCCCAACGGAGAACACATTCTTTTGTATAATCGGAACTTGCCTGCCAGCAAAATGTAAACAGGACATGGGGTCCAGACTGTCCAGTTTTCTAATCATTGCAAACTAATCTTGTGCAGGAAGAATCTGGTATAACTCTGAATACAGTCGACAGTGTTGAGGGATTTGTGACGGAAATCAACAACGGCCATTGGGATACAGTGCTTCAAGCTGTACAACCTCTGAAATTACCTGACAAAACTCTTATTGAGCTTTATGAACAGGTAGGAAAAACTCAACATCGGTTTAAAAATAGGTTTTCAAAAAACAATTCAACCAATGTTGGTCTGGGAACAAACCCGAAAATAATGAAAAGCAGGGGGAAAATCGGAAAAAAACCAGTTTGAAACTCGGTAATATTGAAAAAAAATGTTAATAATTCCACATACCGTAAACCTCCGACTATAAGCCCCCCAAATATAAGCCCCCCTGAATATAAGCCCACCACATATACTAACGCTCACCTCATTCCAAATATAAGCCCCCCTCCCGAATATAAGTCCCCCGAATATAAGCCCAGTAGCCCACTACGTTATTCAACATTGACAGTGTCTTTTAATATAGCAGAGAACAATATTTAAAAACATTGTCATTGTCTTTATAGCTTACTATGTTAATCAATGCGTGTTATTAATACATGTTTATTTTCCTGTTTATGACCGACTTGTTTATTACTAACACAAAAGATCGTCCATGTATTAGCCCCCCCATATATAAGCCCCCCCCCCTTGCATAAGGCCATCAAAAATCGCCCAGGGCTCATAGTCGGAGATTTACAGTATTTGTGCACATGCTTGATTAGTTGAACAGAAGGCAGATGTCTGTGAAGACATGTAGATACAAAAATATTTTTTCTGTTTTTTTTTCCCTGAACCAAATGAAAGTATTTAATACCTGAACTTATTTAACTGAATGGAAATTAATTTCTCTCCCAAATAAGAGGGCAGAAGGAAATTAGATAATATTTCATCTATTATTGAGTACATTTTGTTTTTCCAACCATGAAAGAACGACACTTGACAGCCTAATGGCTAATGTTGCATGCTTCATTCAGATTGTGCTTGAATTAATTGAGCTTCGTGAACTTGGTGCTGCCAGATCATTACTTCGTCAGACAGATCCAATGATTATGTTAAAGTCGCAACAACCTGATAGATACCTACATTTGGAAAACTTACTGGCAAGATCTTATTTTGATCCAAGGGAGGTGAGTGGCCATGAATGTTATTGTGGAATTTATAGCTACGGATAGGTGAATGTGACTACCACAGTTCGCTGCAAGGCCATTGTCAAGGAACTGGAAATGTAAAGATTTAGTTCATTTAAGTTGTGCTGTTTTTCTCGCAGGCATACCCTGAGGGAAGTAGTAAAGAACGAAGAAGAGCCGCAATTGCCCAAGGTATTGCCTTAGAAAGTTACTAGGAAATTAATCCGTAGAAACCGATAATCTGCAACTTTCAGGCAGATCGGTTATCGGCTAATCACATTGACATATATTACCATGTACCGGCCGTCCAATAAATATAATTCTGGCTTTTACTTGTGATATTTACTCTTCTTTGTCAAGAAAAACTATGTGGGTTTGTCAAACAGATTCTCTTTCATAAAGGAACTGTCAGATCTACTTACGCTGTTAGTCATTTACCAGGATACTTTTCCGAAATAAATTGATTACCACTGTAAATTGAGTCAATCTCTTCCTCGACTATCGTAACGACATTTCTGTTACTGGCCTGTTAACTTTTGTAATATTTTGCTAGCATTTTGCCCCAATTTTGAGTGTTGAAAATTCCTGTTAACAAATATCGGTAACCACAGATAAATCGGTTTCCTTTACTTCCCAGCTTTATCCGGTGAGGTGTCGGTGGTTCCACCATCTCGCTTGCTAGCTCTGCTTGGTCAGGCATTGAAATGACAGCAGTATCAAGGACTACTACCTCCTGGTACTTCCATTGATGTGTTCCGAGGCAAGGCAGCTGTACGCGACGAGGAAGAGGAAAAATATCCAACACATCGATCAATAAAACTGTCAAGGTAATTATGGATTTGACAAATTTAAAATTGATTATGCATATGACCAATTTTAAATTGGTTACAGATATGACCGATTTTTATTGGTTATTTTGGGTCATTCAACATTGAGTGACCAAAAGAAATTAAATTTACCATTTGAAATTGGTTAAAAATGCAACCAATTATGTATTGGTCGTGTCGGAGACTGTCTATTATTATTATTATAGCACGTTATTAATTTTAGTTAGTTATATATAACGATTCCAATTTTAGGTTGATCAAACTTTTATATTGAACATTACTTCACATAAATTTTATATTAGTTAAATTTAGAATATTATACTAGGTCGGTCAAGGTGGCAAGTTGTACCAAGGGGTACCAGCACTTTGAGAACTTGTACCAAGGAGTAGCAGCACATTGGCAACTTGTACCAAGTTGTACCAACTTGTATAAAGTTCGGGTCATTGCGTGCCTGTTACGAAAGACAATACAAAAAATCTGCATGCACATGAAACATTATGTGTTGAGAAAAACTTCCTCGAGAGCGTGACTTGTGATATTGCGAGAGAAGAGAATCTAAGTGAACCTTTAATTTGTTAAATTTGTTTTGTTTGTTCTAATATATATATATCCAAACTGTATATCGTCATTGTGAATTTATTTGTGGTTTTAATTTGTACGTGAATTGTTGGGCGAAACAAGGGAGGCAATCCCCAACATAGTGGCACCTCCAAGACGGGATTAAATCAAAATGGAAACAAAAATGGAAGAATTAACTGGGAAATTGAAAGCGCTAGACTTGGTGCTTGCCAAATCGAAAGATACTGTGACCGCGCGTAATAAAGACGCACTTAAACGAAGTGAACAGTCCATTGCGAGAAAAATCAGCGCACTTTACGTGTTGAAAGAGGAAATTGAGGAGTTAAAATTTATTAATAAGGACTCAGAGGAAAACGTACGTACTTGGGCTGACGAAGTTGAGTTAAAATTGACCGCCGCTGAATCTGAACTAAACGCAATTCGAGCCGTGTTGAGTGAAATAGAACAGGAGGAAATCAGTGTGCAACGTGAGAGGACGAGGAAATACAACGTATCGCTGTCGACGCGGAGACCAAGAAACAGCTGTCAATTGAACATGCGAAGTTAGAGCTGGAACGAGCTCATAAAGAAGCAGAACGGAAGAGAGATTTGGAACACGGGGAGCTGCTACGGAAGCAAACAATGGAGTACCAAAAGACTGTGCAAGCGTCGATGGACACGAAATCCAAACAGGTACAAAATATAAAATTACCTAAATTAAAAATTACGAAATTTAGTGGTAAATATTCTGACTGGTTGCCGTTTTGGAATACATTTGAAGCAGAGATAGATTCCACTGATTTACCAGCCGTTTCAAAGTTTGGTTTCCTTAAAGAACTTCTAGAACCTAAAATTCGCGAAGATATAGACGGGTTACCTTTCAGTACTGAAGGTTACCAACGAGCCAAAAATATATTAAAAGACGAGTATGGTAAAACAAGTGAAATTATCAACGCTCATATTCAAAATATAATGGGATTACCCATTATAACGGGATCGAATTCAGCAAAAGTGCATGAATTTTATAAGACACTTTCCTACAATGTCCAATCGTTAGAGACTCTGGGTAATATAGAAAGAGTCAATGGTACCACCAGAAACGTCCTAGAAAAACTAAAGGGAATTAAAGCCGATTTAGTGCGTGGGGAAGAGGGATGGCAGGATTGGGACCTCCCGCGGTTGGTAATTGCTCTAAAGAAATGGAAGGATATTCATTCAGTAGACAGTATGAATCAGGATCATTTCAATTCAAAATCACCGCCAAAACGTAACGGCACAAAATCAGATTTTTACCATGCCAAGGACGGTGAACGAAAAAAGCGCGTGTGTGTTTATTGTGAAGATTCCAATCATTCTTCAAAAGATTGTAGTAAAGTTTCAACTGTTTCGGCCCGAAAGAAATTACTCGCGGAAAGAAAACTATGTTTCAACTGCACAGGCATAAAACATCGTGCATCTGACTGCAAAAGTAACATAAATTGCCAGAATTGTAATCAAAAACATCATACTTCCATTTGTACAAGAGATCAGCCATTACTTACCGCAACCGGAACTAGTTACGAACCGTTGGTTTATCCAGTAGTCATAGTTAATGTTGAAGGGGTGAAATGCCGCGCGCTTCTAGATACAGGTGCAGGAAGTTCATACGCTTCTGCTGCGTTATTGAAGCGCAGGTCAAACCGTGACTACCGTAAAGAATTACGACGCGTAGAAATGATGCTCGGAGCGGTGACACGAGAAATGGAGTTATCTACAATTAACATTGAAGCTTTGGACAGAAAATTCAAAATGAACGTAAACGTGACGAAAGTTGACAAGCACGAACTCTTGAGTGTCGACAATCCAAACTATCAGAAACTGATCGCCAGCTACCCACATCTACAAGGCGTTCGCATAGAAGACAACGACCAAAAGTCAAAACTACCCATACATCTAATCCTTGGCGCAAGTGACTATCTATGCATCAAGACAGACGAACCACCTCGTGTTGGAAAGACCGGAGATCCAGTGGCTGAGAAAACGAAGTTCGGATGGACTATCATCGCCAAAGGGAAAGAGATCGACTACACCGCCATGCTTCTAACCCAAACCAACCAAACTGACTACGAACAGCTTTGTCGGTTAGACGTTCTTGGAATCGCGGATCGACCAGAGCATGACCAAACAGACGTCTACACAGAATTCCGTGAACAACTCGTGAGAAGTGATCAGGGTTGGTACGAGACGGGGTTGCCATGGAAAAGTAACCATCCATTCCTTCCATCCAATGAAAAGGGGAGTTTGAGACGACTCAACAACCTAACTCGTAAGTTGAAACAAACTGAACTGACTGAACCATACGCAGATATTTACCGAGTTCTACATACCACACAAACCAGTTGTTAGAGAAGCTGCAGAATCAGCAAAACTGCGAATCGTGTACGACGCGTCTGCTCGAGCACACTCCGAAGCACCCAGTTTAAACGATTGCCTGAATGCTGGACCACCGCTACAAAACCGCTTGTGGGACGTCCTGGTTCGTATGAGATTCCACCCCGTTGCATTGACTGGTGACTTGAAGCAAGCGTTTCTCCAAGTACGGATTAAACAAGCAGAAAGGGATGCACTCCGCTTTCATTGGAAACCGAACGATCAAGCAGCAGTCGAGACGTTAAGATTCACTCGGGCACTGCTTGGTCTGACATGTTCGCCCTTTCTACTCGGAGGAGTCATCGAACACCATTTGGAGTCGTGGGAAACTCGAATGCCAGAAGACGTGAAAAAGCTTCGCAAGAGCATGTACGTGGACGACCTTATCGGCGGAAAGACGACCGTAGCGAAATTACAAACCTTCAAGGACAGAGCAACCGAAATATTTCGTGACGCAACCTTCACCCTACACAAGTGGCATTCAAATGCACCAGAATTGGAAGAACCAGCCATAGATTCCACAAGTGAAGAAATGTTCGCCAAACAGCAACTGGCTACCGCACACCGGGGGGAGTCAAGCATTCTCGGTCTTCGTTGGGAAAAGAGGTCCGACCAAATCAGCATCACCGTACCATTAGAAGCAGCAAGAACTGCCAAACGAGGAATCTTAAGGAAACTAGCTAAGATCTACGATCCTTTGGGGTTAGTCTCGCCTCAAGTCCTGCTGGGAAAGTTTATCTACCGTGAAACGTGTAACAGGAAAATCGGATGGGATGCACCGATAGAGGAAGACCTTAAAAAGAAGTGGTTACTATGGGAACAGAGCCTTCCAAAACAAGTTAGCGCACCACGTTCTCTAGTGCGATTTCGCGAAGATATCGAGTCCATAGAGCTCCACGCATTTGGCGATGCAAGTGGCGAAGGTGTTTCAAGTGCCGTCTACGCGATTGTCCATCAACCATCGGGAGTGAGTCAAGGTCTTGTGGCCGCGAAGTCGAGATTAGCAAAGCGGGGTTTGACAATTCCGCGGCTCGAACTGGTTTCTGCTCACATGGCTGCAAATCTAGTTGGAAATGTCCAAAGAGCTCTCGAAGGGTTTCCTGTGACCGCGATGCAAGGATGGCTTGATAGCACCGTTGCACTTCACTGGATAAATGGCGGGGGAGAATTCAAGCAATTCGTCGCAAATCGAGTGGGAAAGATCAAGTCCAACACTCAGCTTGAATGGCATCACGTGCCCACCAAAGAAAACCCAGCCGATTTAGGGAGTAGAGGTGGACCTGTACAAGAAAATCAACTCTGGTGGAATGGTCCTGAATGGCTAGCTGACCGACAGAACTGGCCCCGTGACATCATAACCTCAGCAACGAAAGAAAGCGATGCTGAAGCCAAAGTAATTCGCCAAATCTTCGCAGCAACAGTTGAAGAAATCAGCAAAATTGAAGAATTACTCTCCAAGTTTGACCTGTGGAAAACCCTGAAAATCTGTTCCTGGATGGCAAGATTCACGTTGAACTGCCGTAATCCTAACCAAAGAATCAGAGGACCATTGACAACGGCTGAGATAAAGAGTCAACGTCTCCTTTGGGTAAAGCGTGCCCAGTCGAACTGTGATTTAGAAGAAGACCGGTTACGACTAAATTTACAACCAAACACGCACGGTATTCTAGAATGTCGGGGTCGAATTCAAGGACACTATCCTGTTTATATACCTGACATAAACCTGTTGGCGACAAAGTTAGTGGAAGATTCTCATTCATGCACTCTTCACGGGGGAGTCGGCATGACTATGGCACATATACGAAGTAAATACTGGATTCCGAGATTGAGACAGTTAGTTCGTAAAATAATAAAGAGTTGCTATGGGTGCCGTCGATTTCAAGCAAAAGCCTTAGAACAACCACCACCAGGAATGCTTCCACTCGAGAGAACCGAAGGGAATCGCCCCTTTCAAGCAGTTGGAGTAGACTTCGCTGGACCTCTGAAGTATCAGAAAAGCACGAAAACGGAAGGGAAAGCCTACATCGTGTTGTACGCTTGCAGCTTAACCAGAGCTATTTATATCGAGCTGTTATCTTCACTACACACCCAAGAATTCCTTCAGAGTCTTAAACGATTCATTGCGAGACGAGGTCGACCTGAAAGGATCTACTCAGATAACGGTAAAACGTTTTTAGCTGCCGCTAAGTGGCTGAGAACTGTTCAACGGGACGAGAAACTTCAGGACTTTCTCGAGAGATCTGAAATTCATTTGCAATTTAACCTTAGCCGTGCTCCGTGGTGGGGAGGACAGTTTGAGCGACTAATCGGGTTGGTGAAACGTTCATTGCACAAAACTATTATTGGTGGTGGATGTCTGAAGTGGAAGGAGCTAGAGGAAGTACTTTTAGATGTGGAAGTGGCATTAAACAACAGGCCACTCCAATATGTAGAGGACGATGTTCAGAGACCGATTTTAACACCTAACTCGTTACTGTTTGTTGGGTCTAACGCCATACCAGAACTGCAAGCCCATTACCTAGAAGATTTAAGTCTACGTAAACGTGCACGATTTCTTTCTCGTTGCAAAGACGCGGTATGGCGCAGATGGTCGACAGAATACATCCGAGGACTGCGTGAGCGACATAACCAAAAGAATGGTACAAAGAAATTAAAGCTAAGTAAGGGAGACGTAGTCATCATCAAATCGGACGAGCGGAACAGAGCGAACTGGTCACTCGGTATCGTGGACGAGCTATATGCGGGGCGTGATGGAGTTGTGAGAGCCGTGAGACTTCGAGCTGGAAAGAAATTCTTAGACAGATCCCCCAACCACCTTTACCCTCTAGAATTATCCTGTGACTGGAAAGTCAAAAAAGACATAATCCAGTTAAACCCAGATGTTCCACCATTTCGACCTGCAGCAGCCGCAGCACGTCAGAGAATACAAGACATTGTAGAACTCAATTGAGAGGTGAACTTACTAACTTGCAAGAGAACTATTATTTTGTTAAAGTTACTATTACTGATTCCAGTCTCCTGTATGGGGGGAGAGTGTTGGAGACTGTCCATTACTATTATTATAGCACGTTATTAATTTTAGTTAGTTATATATAACGATTCCAATTTTAGGTTGATCAAACTTTGTACCAAGGGGTAGCAGCACATTGGCAACTTGTACCAAGTTGTACCAACTTGTATAAAGTGCGGGTCAATGCGTGCCTGTTACGAAAGACAATACAAAATATCTGCATGCGCATGAAACATTTAGTGTTGAGACGAACTTCCTCGAGAGCGTGACTTTGTGATATTGCGAGCGAAGAGAATCTAAGTGAACCTTTAATTTGTTGAATTTTTGTTTATTTTTGTTCTAATATATATATATATATATATATATATATATATATATATATATATATATATATATATATATGTACGAAACCAACAACACCTACGATATTTACACATTTGCAAAGAACAAAATCATCTACCACCGTTTCTTTTGGCTAAACCACCGATAAACCATCCAAAAGCGTGGGCAATCGCAAGAAAGACCGGGTGGTCTTACCTTCGTGTTTTGATAAGCAATTGTCATCATAAACTTATTAGTCTAAGGAACGAATCTACAGAATTGACCAAGACCTTGTCAACAATGGTCGATCAAGACAGCTTATCGAAGTTGGACCAAGCAATCTCTAGTCGGTGTGGTCACTTGAGAAGCACTATTATAGAAAGACACGAGAAAAAGTCACGCTGGCGTTCAACATCAGACAGTGAACATAGCATCATGAACAAATGGGTCGTTAATGTCTCACAGCGAAATTTGTCCAACAACGAAATAGATTTGTTAAGAAAGGGTCTAAATTTTGTCGGAACTCCGAGACGTGTACCAAAGAAAGAAATACTAGCGTCGGTTGAACAAGGTATCAAGGATCTTACAGAAGAAGCAAAAAACGACATACGAGCTGGCGTCTTCTCAATTTTGAAACATGCTAAACCCCTCTCAACACAGAATTTAACTCGGGGCGAAAGGAAAGCAGTTAAAGACTTGAAGTCAGAGGACACGATTATCATAACAAAAGCTGACAAAGGAAATGCTGTGGTTATAATGGATAAGGCAAAATATACTGAACAAGTAAACGAGATGCTTGGAGATCAAACAGTTTATACACGCATCACCGATAAGAGAAGAAATCCCACCAAACGGACGGAAACTGACTTAGAGAATATACTGAAAGAGCTTCGACGCTCGAAAAACATAACTGATAGAGAATATTGGCAGCTACGAGCTTTTGATTCTTCCCCTGCTACATTTTATGGTTTGCCAAAAGTCCATAAAGTGTCTCTCATCTGCAACCAAGACCACTATACCCTGAGCGAAAGTTCTGTGGACGTCATTCCTTTACGTCCAATTAACAGCAACATTGGTTCACCTACATATTCCCTATCAAAATACCTTGCAAAATTGTTAAAGACCTTTTGCGCAAAAAACGAGTTTTCTATAAGTAATGGGAAAGAATTCGCTGATTTTGCCAAAAGTCAAACGTTAGGGACGGATGAAACTATCGTCTCTTTTGATGTTGTGTCCTTATTCACATCCATACCTGTTCCGTTTGCCTTGCATATTGTACAAAAGAAACTTAAAGAAACTGATTCATGGAAGTCACATACAGCACTGAAAGAAGAACAAGTTGTGAAACTATTAAAATTCCTACTTAACAATTGTTACTTTAAATTCAATGAGACACACTATCATCAGAAGTCAGGATGCGCCATGGGATCACCTGTTAGTGCAGTCATAGCTGAGATAGTAATGCAAGAGATAGAGTCAATTGCCATCAACACGTCACCTGTCCCAGTACGCTGGTGGCGAAGGTATGTTGACGACTCCAATTCATGTCTACGCAAAAGTGACATTGAACAATTCCACACCCACCTGAACACTATCAACAAAAACATTCAGTTTACAATTGAATTGCCATCAGAATCAAACCACGGTGAAGCAATTTCTTTCCTTGATACCCACATTACAATTCTTAAAAACCGTACCATTGAAGTAAGTGTATACCGTAAGGATACACATACCAATAAATATCTATCCTTTCACTCTCATAATCCCACCCAAAGTAAGCGAGCCGTAGTTAAGACCTTACTTGATCGAGCAGACAGCATTCCTTCTACTGACAATAAAAAACAGCAAGAAAAGGAGTGTGTTGTCCAAGAATTAAAGCTCAACGGATATCCAGAGAAATTCATCTTCCAGACAAGTTCCAGCAGGTCGTTTTCCAACACTAATGACGAACCGGAAATTAAAAGGGTTATCTTGTATTCCATACATGAAAGGCATATCAGAACAGATAAAACAGCTGCTTAAAAGTGCTGGTATTAAGACAATATATAAACCCATGCCAAGCTTAGGGGACATTTTTGGTAAACCAAAAGACAAGCAGAAGATCACGGAGATTAAAGGCATTGTTTATAAATTTGAATGTCCAGATTGTTCATTTAAGTATGTTGGAGAAAGTAAGAGGTCGTGGAAATCACGTTGGGCAGAACACAAACCAGGCGTAAGACGGGAGATTAAGTCAGCAATCAAAGACCACGCAGAAAGCACAGGACACAATGCCTCTATTAACAATGCTACAATCTTAGAGAAAAGAG